AGTTATATATATTAGTTATACATTAGTTATATACATTAGTTATATGGTAGTTTAGTTATATACATTAGTTATACAGCAGCGGGGCTGGTTACCTGCAGCAGAGAGATAATGATGAACACAATGGCCACAGTGTACAGGTTTCCAGGTAACCAGTCCTCCAGCGCTGTGATGCAACCTTTAGTAAAGATGTGATCGGTCCACTCCCTCTGCACAGGAACACAACGTTACACCACAGAACACGTTCTTCTCATGAGGTCGTCACATTTCCTGATAGAACCTCACCTCTGGTCTGTTCCTCACGTCGTATCCACACTGAGTGTTCACCACAGAATCCTGAAACAAACAGAGCTGAAGCTGGAAACATGAACCCACACAGAGGGTCAGAGGTTCATTTCCTCCAACTTCTGATCCAGGACTTTTTGTTGCTTTCCCTTCATCTCGTGAGAGCATTTTTATTTAGATTCAATAAATCAGACATAAAAATAAATATGGTTTCACAGCCGGTGCTACTAACGTAACTACCACCAGCTGAGATAAAGTGAGGAGGAGTTTATTTGGGCCTCGGTGGATAAATGACCACATTCCATAAGATGTTATGTAACCACGGTGACCGGTTGTGTGAATAAATCAGTATTGATCAAATCCACTCACAGCAGGATCCGTGAGGCAGCAGGAGAAAGGAACTCCACACTTTTCTCTGCTGCGATGAGTTCCGTTACAGCTGAAGTAAACGTTCAGGTTCCAGTCGTTGGGTTCCTGAGCTCCACAGCAGTGGTTCTGTTGAAAGAGCAAATTAATGAATCAGATGAAACAGGAACCTTCAGCGGCAGAACGTCCATTTTGTTATCAAGGTGAAGAAGAATAAAACCGTCCACACTTGTGAGTTACCATTTTCTGCAGCGAATCAATCAGGTTCTGCAGGTCGATGTCGTCTCTGTACGCTTTGACATTCGTCAGGAAGAATTCGTTGATCCAGTCTCTGACCTGACTCTGAAAGACCACCGTCAGCACCGCCACCGTCAGCTCAAGGAAGAATATGAAGCCGATCACGCCTGAAAACTTACCATGACAGATGTAGAAGACGTTTAAAAAAACTGAATTGTGCAGGTGGTTTTTAGCGTACAGATGTGTATAACATACAAACTTAAGTAGACAGATGTTTTCTCTCAGAGCTCCCACACAGCCAGCAAAGCCCAGGATGAAGGTGACTCCCCCAACGACCAGGACCAACCACACAGGATCAAAACCATGAAGCCGGGTCACCTGGGTGAGATCCACGAGGACGCCCTGTGAACAGATGTCTCAGACATTAACATGGAGACAGATGTTGTTTGTGGTTTCTATTGTTCTTCCTGATGGTGTGTGTTGATTCACTTTCTCACTCCAGGCCCAGAAGCCAACCGCAATGAAGGCGACTCCAGCCAGCTGCAACACAAACACACAATTAGACAACACTGACCTGCGTGTGTACAGATGTTGACCTGTGTGTGTGTGTGTGTGTGTGTGTGTGTGTGTGTGTGTGTGTGTGTGTGTGTACAGATGTTGACCTGTGTGTGAGAGTGTGTGTGTGTGTGTGTGTGTGTNGTGTACAGATGTTGACCTGTGTGTGAGAGTGTGTGAGTGTGTATGTGTGTTTGTGTGTGTGTGTTTATTTTAATAACTCTAAAATGAAACAAAATCATTTTCTATAAAACTCGGTTTGAAAAGTTGAAATCAATGTGAGGAAACATCTGAAGCTCAGGATGTTTCATAACAGCTCACTTCCTCTTCAACCACACAGGAAGTCACGACATCACTTCCTCAAACCACAGCCAACCGGTGCAGTTACATATCACATCATTTTTTTCCACATTGGTGGATGGTCAGTGTGACCTTTGACCACTGAAATAGATTCACTTCATCTTTGAGTCCAATCAACATTTGTAGCAAATTTGAAGAAATGCCCTCAGATGTCTCGTTCACAGGAATGTGACGGGTGAAGCTGAAAACAGAGACTCAGTCTGACGCTGTCCTGCAGACAAACTATTGGTCAGCTGTTCAGCATAAGTTACCGCGGTGATTTACCTCGATAACAAGGGGCCGAGCTTTGTACGACTGAAAACTCTGAATTAAACCAGAACTTACCGGAATAAACCTGAGTTAAACCTGATAACCACAAATCCTAGTACAGGAGGAAAGTGAACACACCAGCAGGTAAACATGTCAACAGGCTGTCATGTGATCATGTGAACAGGTGATGATGGTAACATGTGGACATGTGAT